GAAATGAACTACTTTATTAAGATATTTTTACACCATTCATTCCTTTTCCTCGCGAGTGCAAGGACGAAAAAGGAATTTGCAATATCACACATAATGCTTCTTAAAATGCCCTCCAATAAATACACTTCACAGGATTCCCTGCTGTCTGTCACCGGCCTCAGTCAGCGCCGCGTCACTGACAGCTGATTGTCTCCTCGTAAAAACTCGCTTCTTTTGGGTCAACGTTGCTGGTGGACGAGATAAAAGATAGGCTTTAATTACCTATTATATCATGATTATTTTTCATTCTACGTATATATATCATATATTATAAATCAATAAAGCGTGTTTATTTAGCATGTATTAAGATATTGTTTCATTCTACCAATCATTAACATATCTACAGCCGTAAAAGTATCCGTTTACCTGATAGGTCATAAGGACGTGTATTTATAAAGAATCATTAACATATATACAACTTACATCCACATAGTCTCTTTCTCTCTCTGTGTGTCTTTCATTCTCTCTCTTTGTGTTTTCTCTCAACTTACATCCACAAAGTCTGTCTGTCTGTCTGCCTCTCTCTCTCTCTCTCTCCTCCCTTCCCCCACCGCAACTTACATCCACAAAGTCTGTCTGTCTGTCTGTTCCTCTCTCTCTCCCTCCCTCCCCCCACCACAACTTACATCCACATGGTCTGTCTGTCTGTCTGTCTGTCTCTCTCTCTCTCCCTCCCCCCACTGCAACTTACATCCACATGGTCTGCCCGGGGTTCGTGAAGAGGGAGCGAGGGCAGTGGGTTTGGTACTCGAAGCAGTCTCCTGACGCGCGCCCGACCCTCTCCGCGCGCGTGTACTCCGGCAGGCGCTTCTCGGCGTGGGGGGACCGGCTGGCGCTGTGGGAGGGAAGGGGGGGTCAGTCTGGCTCTCTTGGAGTTTTAGCTTGTTTGTCTGTTTTGTGTGTGTGTGTGTGTGAGTGTGTATGTGTGTTAGTGTGTGCATGTATCAATATATATGTACATATTTACATTTATACGTGTGTGCTTATTAATTCATTCACTCAAACACTCATTCTGTTCACCTATCTGTAATTTCTATACTTGCTTGTACTTGTATGACATGCATATAAGCACGATTTGTGGCTCTGTCATTTTGGAACCATCACAACAGCGAGGGCCTAGATGACGATTATAGCTGACCTCGTTTGACCCTTCAGTTCGCCTCCAGAAGTCACTGTACCCAGGTCTCCGCCACCCTTCAGTCTTTCCGGCTGGCAGGCCAAACACGATACACCGTGCTCAGCGCTTGCTTCAAGACCTCATATCGTCTTCAGTTACTGTGTTGTACTCTTATAACAATAAAAGAGTCAAGCCGTGCAACTACTATCACTGTCCAATCAGTCATAGTCATTGTACTGAGGCTCTACAGCCTCTCACAATCTGCGTGCTACAAGGAATATACACATGCATATATGCCCCCACACACGTGCGCTTCACATCAGCTTCCTCATCGGCCATGACCTAATGATATGAAAAATCCGAGTCCGGCCATGACCTAATGAATTGAAAAATCCGAGACCTTGTTGAACCAACCTGAATAAGAGTCCGGCCGACATTCGTGAAGGAGACCAAGTGTGGGGGGGGGGGGGCATTTTCGAGTTAGCTAGCCTATGTTATACACGAACGAGGAAACTACCAAACGACTGTCTGAGCCAAAACCGGGTTATTTCTTAGGAGGCGCAAGGGTATAAGCGCCAACAAGTAAACTACGGACGCAGCTAATTAGCGCCAGGTACATCTGTATAGACCTTTGCTTGTTGCAGTCTTGCATATGGCACTTAAGTTCATGAATGTCCAAAGAACACTTATATACCAATATCATAAAAAAATGAAAATCACAATGATTTATGAAATATTTTGCGAGATTTTTCTTCAAAAAAGTAAGTTTTGTGTACATTTAGACATGACATCTGCTTTCCCTCGGGACTCCCTGGTAATAAGTTATAGCTTATGTAGGGGGCTATATGTTTACCGAGTACGAAGCACGAATGTTAAAAAATAATGATAATAATATTTCGGTTTGGATTCGGTTCTAACGGTCAGTACATTCCATCGTCGAAAATTTTGTTTTGATTTGAAATTGATAGTTTCCGATGTAAAGATCACTTCAGTATGAAAGCCATCTCATGGGTGGAATGTGTTGAACTTCGGAAAAAAATAAGTGAAATATTGATTATTTTATGTTGAAGATTATGGGTCACAATGATGCCCGCTCTAAAACAAAAACTATAGGGATTTTTTTAAAACCCAGTCTTATGTATTCGCTTCGTAAGGAGTTAATACAGCTAACGCACCTTTTTCATGGTTTCCAGTAAAAAATGCAACCTATGAACCCTACGTCCGATTAATTTGTTCACTTATTTGCAAAGACAATGCACTCAAATGACCGAACGCCAACATTATATTTGTTTACTAAGCCCAACGGACATTTTTTTTATATATATTAATATAGAAAACGATTCTATTTGGGGCAACTATCTTTTTTTCTTTAAGTACAAATGGGTTTAGTGCTATTAAATGAGGATAATTAAAATGGATTATCTAATCTGTATGTGTTTACATACATATCGACCTTCTCAATGATTAAAGCCATCCAATGACCAACTCCCCCCCTCCCCCCCTTAAGGACCGTTGGAAAAATTCAACGGCCTTGGAAATTCTCGCCGTAAAACAATTTTACACGTGTGTTTCTATAATTCTCAAATTAGAACCGATATGTTGTATTTATGCTAATATAACACATGACAGTTTTCAATTTTTTTCACAGTCGCATAAAAAACATAACATTTTCCATTTCTTCACATAAAATAATCAATTTCTGGTTTAGATTAGTTGTCTTTATGATTTAATGTATTTTTTTTAGCGTTTCAGACAGGAATCTCAACTTCCAAACCCGAAAAAAAGAAATAAAAAGAAAAACAACAGAATTTTTTTTTTTTTTTTTTTTTTTTTTTTTTACAAAGTCTGGTCCCTATTGAAAACAATTATTCCAAACAACTTGGTAATAATCTCCTCTCAAAGTACACTATTTTTTTGTTATATAATATCATTAGATTTAGCAAAGAAATAACAGAAAAAATAACTTTGGAATGTGTCCAGATTTCAAGGTCATGTTTTCAGTACTTTGCTTACATAAATTTCATTATTCTTTCTGTGGCGTGTGGTCCAGAGTGAATGAAAAGTCGAATTTTTCAACTTCTAGAAGGCTTACCTATGAGGGTGCCCCGTTAAATTACATATGAGACGAAACACAATTATATACTCTGTAACACGCCCCCCCCCTCCACAAAAAAGAGTAAAATGAAAAAAAAAATAGTTATCTACAACCGTTATCTCAATGAGCGAAGCAAGGTAGGCTTCGAGACAGTACCCTGAACCAACCTGAAAAGGAGTCCGTCCGCCCTTGTTGAACTAACCCGAGAAAAAGTCCAACTGACCTTGAACCAAGCCGAGAAAGACTCCAGCTAACCTTGAACCAAGCCGAGAAAGACTTCTACTGACCTTGAACCAAGCCGAGGAAGACTCCAACTGATCTTCTGGAACCAACCCGAGAATCCGAGAAAGACTTCTACTGACCTTGAACCAAGCCGAGAAAGACTCCAGCTAACCTTGAACCAAGCCGAGAAAGACTCCAGCTAACCTTGAACCAAGCCGAGAAAGACTCCAGCTAACCTTGAACCAAGCCGAGAAAGACTCCAGCTAACCTTGAACCAAGCCGAGAAAGACTTCTACTGACCTTGAACCAAGCCGAGAAAGACTTCTACTGACCTTGAACCAAGCCGAGAAAGACTTCTACTGACCTTGAACCAAGCCGAGAAAGACTTCTACTGACCTTGAACCAAGCCGAGAAAGACTCCAGCTAACCTTGAACCAAGCCGAGAAAGACTTCTACTGACCTTGAACCAAGCCGAGAAAGACTCCAGCTAACCTTGAACCAAGCCGAGAAAGACTTCTACTGACCTTGAACCAAGCCGAGAAAGACTTCTACTGACCTTGAACCAAGCCGAGAAAGACTCCAGCTAACCTTGAACCAAGCCGAGAAAGACTTCTACTGACCTTGAACCAAGCCGAGAAAGACTCCAGCTAACCTTGAACCAAGCCGAGAAAGACTCCAGCTAACCTTGAACCAAGCCGAGAAAGACTCCAGCTAACCTTGAACCAAGCCGAGAAAGACTTCTACTGACCTTGAACCAAGCCGAGAAAGACTTCTACTGACCTTGAACCAAGCCGAGAAAGACTTCTACTGACCTTGAACCAAGCCGAGAAAGACTCCAGCTAACCTTGAACCAAGCCGAGAAAGACTCCAGCTAACCTTGAACCAAGCCGAGAAAGACTTCTACTGACCTTGAACCAAGCCGAGAAAGACTCCAGCTAACCTTGAACCAAGCCGAGAAAGACTCCAGCTAACCTTGAACCAAGCCGAGAAAGACTTCTACTGACCTTGAACCAAGCCGAGAAAGACTTCTACTGACCTTGAACCAAGCCGAGAAAGACTTCTACTGACCTTGAACCAAGCCGAGAAAGACTTCTACTGACCTTGAACCAAGCCGAGAAAGACTTCTACTGACCTTGAACCAAGCCGAGAAAGACTTCTACTGACCTTGAACCAAGCCGAGAAAGACTTCTACTGACCTTGAACCAAGCCGAGAAAGACTCCAGCTAACCTTGAACCAAGCCGAGAAAGACTTCTACTGACCTTGAACCAAGCCGAGAAAGACTTCTACTGACCTTGAACCAAGCCGAGAAAGACTCCAGCTAACCTTGAACCAAGCCGAGAAAGACTCCAGCTAACCTTGAACCAAGCCGAGAAAGACTCCAGCTAACCTTGAACCAAGCCGAGAAAGACTTCTACTGACCTTGAACCAAGCCGAGAAAGACTCCAGCTAACCTTGAACCAAGCCGAGAAAGACTTCTACTGACCTTGAACCAAGCCGAGAAAGACTTCTACTGACCTTGAACCAAGCCGAGAAAGACTCCAGCTAACCTTGAACCAAGCCGAGAAAGACTCCAGCTAACCTTGAACCAAGCCGAGAAAGACTCCAGCTAACCTTGAACCCACCTGAAAAGGAGCTCGAGAAACTCGCCGAAAAAGCCGTGCTTCTCGAGGGGAAACTGGAACATCTCGCAGATGGTCCTCAGGAGGCAGGCGGTTCCGTTCATGCCCATATTGGATAAAGTGTCCTCGATGACCTGGTATATCATTTCCCTGTAAATGACGAGAAGAAAAGGAATGGTAAAAAAGGTTAAGAAGGTAGTAGTAGTAATAATTAAAAAAAAAAGGGGTTGGTGAGTATATGGGAGATTAATAATTGATCGATGACTCGTAAGGATACGTGCGTAAAAATAAAAAAAATAATTATCGACCTATAACTAAAAGAGGTATGAAAAAAACATGAGAATTTACAATCGACCAACAACTAAAACGAGTATGCTAATAAAATATAAAAATCTAAGATGAATAAGAAAACGGAGAAATGGTATTTGACCGGTAACTAAAATAAATCCGCACCGATTCCTATATCTACAAGAATGACTGAATACTTTCGCTCACCTGTCGCCTCCTGCCCAGTTGATGCCCGAGAGAGGAGCGGAACTGTCCCTCTTCTTCCTAAACGGCCCGAGTTTAGGCCAAAGTCCAAAAGGATTCTCCTCAGAGGTCAAACCGAGGTCATCGAAGCGAACTAGCGCAAAGGAAAAGAAAGGAAATCGTATTTTTTAAGGAAAGAAAGGGAGTTAGGACGGAGGTGAAGAAATCTGATACTAAGACGATTTTGTTAGTATTTTTTATGTGGATTTTGATGAAAGGGATAATATTTCAAGGCATGTTCGTATATTTTATTCAATGCTGATGTAAAGTCTTATGGAGCGATCTTTCTCTCTTTCTTTGATACTATATATCACATCTGTAAACTTCAGTAATGTTTTGATGAACAACGTAAATACAGAAAGAGAGAGAGAGAAAAAAAAGAAAGAAACAAAACAAAGACAAAAACTAATTTCTCACTTTCGAAAGGAATTGAGATGGTCATCGAAGCAGCATAGCCTATAGGGAGGTTCCTGCCGGCGGGGAGGCTGAGCGTGGGCGTGAAAACCAACAGAGTCTCGGGCGGGAGTCTCAGGCGTCGCTCGGAGGTGAAGTAGACGAGTCGCTTGGGTCGAGAATGGGCGCTGTGGGGCCAAGGGCAGAGGGGGGAGGGGAGACGGAGGCTGAGATTAGGGCGGGGTTGGAAGAAAGGTGGGTTTGCTTGTATAGTTTGTGTGGGTTGCAGATGGTGTGGTCTGTTAATGGCTGTCTGTTAGTCTGTCTGTTTCCCTCTCTCTCTCTCTCTCTCTCTCTCTCTCTCTCTCTCTCGCTGTCTCTCTCCCTCTCTCTCTCTGTCTGTCTGTCTGTCTCTCTCTCTCTGTCTCTCTCTCTCTATTCTTTCTCTCGTTTCCTTTCCCTCTCACCCTCTCTCTCTCTTTCCCTCTCCCTCTCTCTCTCTCTCCTTCCACCTCGCCCACCTCTCTCTCTCTCTCTCTCTCTCTCTCTCTCTCTCTTTCTCTCTCTCTCTCTCTCCGTCTTTCTCTCTCTCCTTCCCTCTCTCTATTCTTTCTCTCGTTTCCTCTCCCTCTCACACTCTCTCTCTGTCTGTCTCTCTATTCTTTCTCTCGTTTCCTCTCCCTCTCACACTCTCTCTCTGTCTCTCTCTCTATTCTTTCTCTCGTTTCCTCTCCCTCTCACACTCTCTCTCTCTCTCTCCTTCTCCCCTTGCCCACCTATCTCTCTCTCTCTCTCTCTCTCTCCTTATCTCCCCATCTCCCTCTCACCTTCTCTCTCTCTCTCTCTCCTTACCTCCCCATCTCCCTCTCACCTTCTCTCTCCCTCTCTCTCTCTCTCTCTCTCTCTTTTTCACTGACTCTCTCTCTCTCTTTCTCTTTCTCTCTCTCTCTCTCTCCCTCTCTCCCTCCCCCCCCTCTCTCTCTCTCTCTCTTTCTCTCTTTCTCTCTCTCCTTTCCTCCCTCCCTCTCCCTCACCCCCTCTCACCTTTTCTTCCTCTCTCCATCCCTCCCTCCTCCTCCTCTCTCCTCTTTCCTTTCCTCCTTCTCTCTCTTTCTCTCTCTTTTTTTCTCCTCCCTCTCTCTTTCTTTCTCTCCCCCCCTCTCTCTCTCTTTCTTTCTCTCCCCCTCCCCCCTCTCTCTCTCTCCTCTGTCTGTCTGTCTCTCTCTTCCCCCCCTATCTATCTCTCTCTCTCTTTCTCCCCCCTTCTCTGCCTCTCCCCCTCTCTTTCTCTTTCACCCTTCACTCCCTCCCTCCCTCCCTCCCTCTCTCTCTCTCCTTCCCTCCCTCTCTATTTCTCCTCCACTACCCCCCCTCTCTCTCTCTTCCTCCCCTTCTCACTCTCCTTCCCTCCCTGTCTCTCCCTCTCCCCCTCTCTTTCTATTTCTCCCCTTCACTCCCTCCCTCTCCCTCTCTCTCTCTCCCCTTCCCTCCCTCTCTCCTTTCCTTTTTCCCTCCCTCCTTCCATCTTTCCCTCTCTTCCTCCTCCCTCTCCCTCTTTCTCCCTCCCTCTCTCCCATCCTCCCTCCCTCTCTCTCTCCTTTCCTTTTTCCCTCCCTCCTGCCATCTTTCCTTCCCTCCTTCCATCTTTCCCTCCCTTCCTCCTCCCTCTCCCTCTTTCTCTTTCTCCCTCTTTCCGTCCCTCCCTCTCTCCTTCCCTCTCCCTTCCTTCCTCCCTCCCTCCTTCTCTCCTTCCCTCCCTCCCTTCCTCCCTCCCTCTCCCTCTCTCTCCACAGCCTCGAACTCACGTGCTGTTCACGGCGCGCGGCACCTGGCCTCCGCCGCTGGCCAGGTGGAGCGCCGCCGCCAGGATCACCAGCAGCGCCACCAGACGGTCTTGACGCGCCATTTTGCTGTGGACGAAAGAGAAGCAGAAAGGAAATTAAATGTATTGATATATTTATATCCTTACAGTACTGTGTGTGCGTGCGAGTGTGTGTGTGTGTGTGTGTGTGTGTGTGTGTGTGTGTGTGTGTGTGTGTGTGTGTGTGTGTGTGTGTGTGTGTGTCTTCCTCCCAGTCACCTTTCAAAATCCTTGCAGAGTTTGGTCACTAATTCCATGACATTTATCTAAACCGGTTCGCGGGGGGGGGGGGGGGGGGGGCGCCCCGAGTGAGTTCCGATGCAGCCCGGTGTGTGCGTATACGTGTGCATGTGCATGTCCAGTACACATGCGCGCGAGTGGATACATACCTACATAAACATATGCATAAATTGTGTATATTGCTGTACATATAGATACATACATATATATTTCGTATGGGGTGTGAAAAGGGTATTTATTATGAGGAAATAAGTATATTAACACCCTTTTATATGCCTTTATATACCTATATGTATATATATACATATATATATACATACATATGTATATATATATATATATATATATATATATATATATATATATATATATACATACACATATACATATACATATACCTAAACCCCCACATACATGCATGTATGGCGCCCGGGGGAAGAGAGAGACCCGCGCGGCGCCTCGTCTTCCCGCCTGGTGTCCGTCCTTCGTCGGCGTCGCGCTGACCTGCCGCTGAGGCAGACACGGACCCGACGCCACCCTGATCTTTCCGCATCGCCTGCCTCTCCCCTTGTACTACTACTTCTTCTCTTCTTCTTCCTCCCTTTCTTCGTCTGTCTCCTCTTCCTCCCCCTTCCCTCATCTCCTCTTCCTTTTCCTCCTCCTCCCCCACTTATGCCTCCCCTTCCCATATCCTCACCTTATCTTCCCCCTCCTGTTCTTCCTCCTTCCCTCACCTCTTCCTCGATCTGTTCTTAATCCTTCCTCCTCTTCCAGTTTTTTCTACCTCTTCTTCCTCATTCCTCCTCTTCCCCATTCCCTCACCTCCTCTTCCTCCTTCTGTTCTTCCACCTCTTCGTCCTCCTCTTCCCCCATCCCTCACCTCCTCTTCCTCCTCCTTCTTCCCCTTTCCCCACCTCCTCCTCTTCTTGTTCTGGTTCGACGAGTGTTTTTTTCTCTCCTTCTTGCGTGTTTAACATTCGCATACCGTTCAAAATTACAAGGTGAAGGGAATGTAGATAGATCGAAAGCATATTTTTTTCGCAGTTCTTGCATTAAGTCATTTTTTCTCCTCTTTTTTCTCTCGTCTAGTTATTAGCTTGAACTTGCATACTTCAGCTGGCCGTTACCTGGATAAAAAAAAAGAATATGTATAAAATACTTCAGCTACCGTTGGCTCGAGAAGAAAAGAAAATATATATAAACTACATAATACCGTGCTCGACGCCTCACAATCACAACGCCCACTGCCTGCGCGCTTGCCCATGACGGCGATGAATTGAAACACACCTTGCGGTTTTGATCACTCCCTCCTTTACTAATTCTAAGAAGATGGGCAGTTACGAGAATCCGTGGTGGTATGCAGGGGGCGACCGCTGCCAAGCCGCTAATCTCAGAACCGACGTAAAAGGAGATGTGATATTCATCTGAAACCGACGTAAGTTGAAGGTGAATTATCTGCCCTTAGGTTGGCAAGATTTGGGGCTGAGGCGGGAATCTGTGTCGCAGGAAAACCCAGTGTAACAGCCTAGATTAATACACTCCCAGGTATAGTCTGAGGTAGCCTCCGGGGGTATAATTGGGCCTTTATCTACTTTATACCTCCGAGTATGAAATAGGCTAGTCTCAACTATAACCCCCCGAGGCCAGGACATACCACTGTAACAATCAGTAGTATTTTTTTCTAAGTCCTACCTATTATGAGATCAATAAACCATTATATCTTCCTCCGACTTAGAAATAGGAATGGTGGAATGATATAGTCGCCAGGGATTAGTTTTTAATTAAAATGAGGCCCATCAAAGCTTTCATGTGGGTAAAATATCGTGTTTGGTAAAAAAATTAATCGGGTGATAATAATAGCTTAAAGTCTTTTATCTATACATTTCCAGCTTTCATGTTTTAAAGTGGTTGTACTACGCTTGAAACGCTAAAACACTGAGCCTTATTATGTTGATTTTTCTTACAAATCTTTATATATCCCATGTCAACAATACTGATTTATAGCAATGGTATCTGAATGAAGGCACATCAAGAAACTGTATAGACACAACATTCCACTTCCGAAGGCACGAAGGCTTAAAGTTTCAGTCGTAAAAACGTTAGGGATCATTTCGGAAACAGCCCAGTGCTTAGAGACTATCACCATTTTTAAGAGGGAGGGGCGTGGAAGGAGGTGGCGAGAAACAAAAGCAAAGCAAGGATGAAATATAGCCTAGAGGGTTAGAGGACGTCTCATGTGGGGATCTATTCGTTAGTGTTTTCGCTGCCTAGAACATAAGACAGAAAAAAACTTTATTCATCGAAGATAAGAAAAATATAAGTACAGACGTGCAAGATGATGCTAAATGATCCCCCCAAAAAAACATAAATACATGCAATATATTAGATGTTCACTTGTTACTATCAGAAAAATTGCAGTACTTCTACTTATAGTAAAAATGATGTTTTTGTTTTGAAATGAAGATAAAGGTAATAGCAATAATATAAATAATAAAAATAATTATAACAATTATTATACTCATTTTAACAATAATAATGATGATGATGATGATGATAATGATAATGATAACAATAACAACGATGATGATGATGATGATGATGATGGTGATAAGTGAAAAAAAGGAAAAAAACTATACATACATATTACTAAAATACACACAAATGGTCAGTTAACCATTAAACTATCAGTTTAATACTTGTCCGAACCCTAGGCCACAAAAAATGTCTAAATATTGCTGTCTATACAATATGCAAAATTATTAGAATTTAATGAACAATGCACAAGGAATGTCTGCAGTTGTGAGATCACTGCAAGACTGTAACCTCGTCCGCTTTATACCCGGGGGTATAAACTGACCCAGCCTAACTTCTACCCCGCGTAACATACAGCCTACCCTAAAATAACCTCGGGTATAATCTGGGCCGTTGCACCGGTGTTGTTTGCTGTGGATTGCGTTTCTGGCCTGGTATGAGACATATATATATATATAAACATACATATAAGTATACAAATATACATAGATACATACACACACACACAATCACAAACGCACGCACACGCACACACACACACATAACTACACACATACACACACGCGCGCGCGCACACACACACACACACACGCGCGCGCGCGCACACACACACACACACACACACACACGCGCGCGCGCGCACACACACACACACACACACACAAGCGCGCGCGCGAATTGCTGAACGGCTGTTAGCCTTCTAACGACCCAACTTCAACGACCTGTATCTGGTTCCTCTTAGCGCAACCCAGCCATTCCAACTAACCGTTTTTTTTCTACATCCTACATCTTCTGCATCGGGAACCATATTATTACGAGGCTGTAGTTTCGAAGTGTGTGTTCAAAAAGGATGATTTTATGTGATTTTAAAAATTTAATTTACTTTTTTATTTTTTTTAGATAATGATGTTTGTTCTGTACCCGTTATTAGTTCTTCGAGAAATAGAACTGAAGACACCAGAGGTGGACTGCTTCAGTTTTCATCTTTTGTGAGATTACACGTGTGTAGATAAATGGATCTATGGAAAGATGGATAGATAAATAGATATAGATATACACATAAATTACGTCCATTTGTATATATATGGTGCATAATTACACATAATTATATATATACATATATATATATAACACACACACACACACACGCACACAAACACACACACACGCACACAAACACACACACACACAAACACACCTAACCCCCCCCCCCCCCCTCACACATATAATTACATACAGTGTACATAGCTGAATGAGCCCGTTCGCCGGTTACCTCGGCTTCGGTTCGGAAAAATCCGGCTTCGCTTGGAATTGTGATTGCAGAGTCTGGCCACAGACTCATATGCAGACACACACACACACACACACATATATATATATACATATATATATATATATATATATATATATATATATATATATATATATATTACGTATGTTTTATGTATATATATATACATATATGTATATATTTACACACACACACACAAATATATATACATATTTATATAAACATATACTAAATGTGTATATATATGTACGTATGTGTATATATGTATAAAAAAATAGATAATTAGATAGAACGATATATATATATATATATATATATATATATATATATATATATATATATATATATATATATATATAGCATATATATATGTATATATATGTATATATATATATATATATATATATATATATATATATATATATATATATATATACAGACACACACACACACAGTTTTCAACATGTTGGTAGCCCCATTAGGCGTCTTCCCCGTGGCATGCAACTGCAAGCACGGAGTCGAGGGGCCAGCGCGTTGAGCTTCAATCACAGATGCATCGCGTCCCCTCGAAGATGGTTCCTGCGCGTGGCGTAACTGGGCTCGGTGCGTGATTTGAAACTGGGATTTGGAGGAACAGGAAGGGTCTGAGGAGCTGCGGGGCCATGTTAGTGCGCAGGGTGACGACGTCATCGAGTGCGTGAAGAAGGTCACTCTGGGTCGAATGCGAAGGTTGACCTGGAGGGACTCTCTATGCGCTTTTACGTCATTTTTCCTTTCGTCCATTTATATGATCCCATTTAGATAGACTAATAGATAAATAAAATTCTCTCACCATTCTTTCCATAAAAAAGAAAATAATCAATCGTTGAACACACGCTCACACAAATGTATATGTGTATATTTATCTATCTATATATGTATGTATGTATGCATGTATCTATCTATCTATATATATACACACACCTAAATCTAGTATATGCTATCAACGACAGATCAAGCCCTACTCTTGTTTGTTCAGTTCCCCTACTGTTCATGCGGCGCCCGTCCCGAGTGCGCCAGGGTGTTGCGTCATTCCAGCGCCTGCGAGGAACGGACTTGAAAAACGAGCACAGGAGTTCAAGGTCAGGATCCTTGATGAGCACGAACGATACATTTTGCAACTTTTATATATCTGTTTCTTCTATTTTTTTAAATTCTTTTGGTATATTATCTTGGTTTATGATTTATCGCTCTTGTCTCTTCTGTTGTTTATCATATCTATCTCCGTTCTTTTTCATCATTTTCACCCGTCTCTTTCTTTTCACTATTTCGTATGCACCGCCGACGAGGGACGTTAGCGGTCACCTCTTAACGGCTACTGCAGGTCCCCGCCCTGCATTACACACGAATGAAGGTCATCTCTCATCTTATTTTTCTCTCTCTCTCTTCTTTCTCCTCTCCTCTCCCTTTCTCTCTCTCTCTCATTTTTTCCTCTCCTTTCTCTCTCTCTTCTTCCTCCCCTCCTCTCTCCCTTTCTCTCTCTCTCTCTCTCCTTTTTTCCTCTCCTTTCTCTCTCTCTCTCTCTCTTCTTTCTCCCCTCCTCTCTCTCTCTCTCATTTTTTCCTCTCCTTTCTCCTCTCCCCTATTCTTATCTTTTCTTTCTCCTCTTTCTCTTCTTTCTCCTCTTCTCTCTCTCTCTCTCATATTTTCCTCTCCTTTCTCCTCTCCCCTCTTCTTATCTTTTCTTTCTCCTCTCTCTCTCTTCTTTCTCCTCTTCTCTCTCTCTCTCTCTCTCTCTCTCTCTCTCTCTCTCTCTCTCTCTCTATATATATATATATATATATATATATACATATATATATATATATATATATATACATATATATATACATATATATATATACATATATATATACACATATATATATATACATATATATATATATATATATATATATATATATATATATATATATACACACACACACATATATATGTGTGTGTGTGTGTGTGTTTATGTATGCATGTTCACACAAAAAGTATGAATTCACATCCACACACATATCTATGAATGAGTATATTGCTTATACATACAATGAAGTGCAGACACTAAGGGAGGCGTGGGTTGCCTTGCCTTCAATCCACCAAAAATCCCAGTTTGCGAGCATTTTGATAAAGTCAAGCTTAGAGAGGGTGACCTAAGCTTATTTTTGGCGATTTTTGACCGATTTAGAAATAATATCCGGTTAGACTCTGAGATATCGACGTCGACTCTTATTAAAAAAAGAGAAAAAGAAAAAAAGAAAAATGAAGACAAAAATCTTACACTCCGGTCCACCTTATATTCATCACGTAAATGGAAACACCACATTCTGTGTTACTAAGCCCTGTCCTACTGCATTTTATTTCTAGTCAAGCAAATATTTTAAGGAAGCGTTTATTCATGATTTTTCCCCAAAGTTTTGCTAGGTAGCGCATATAATCATACAGCAAACACTGACACATCCCAGCATAAGTCCTACTTGTCAGTATACATACATAAATATAGCCTATTAATATAATAATATAGCCTAAATCCTAATGATATAGTCTAAATCCTACTTATCGTAGTTTACGTATACACTTCATAGACATATACTTACAGCGCATTTCTTATGCATGTCTACATAAAAGTGTGTTTTCTTTGGCCTGGAATGTTAAACTGCAACATAGGGATCCCCTGGGCAAGGGATCACAACCTTTTTGGAAATATTAGTAAGTAAAAAAGAAAAGGTCACGGGAAAAGTTGACTGAATTAACCCAATCGCCCCGTATGTTCAAAATACCATGCCCTTTGTAATACAAGTTTATTTATTGTATTTACACATAGATGGCTCTACAAGTGCTTAGTCACCAAGGAGTCGGTTATTAGTCCTACCTGTCTCACCTGTCTACTCTTTTCCTCTACCTTTGGGAAGGGTCTTTTGCATCATTCCATTGTCTTAAATGTTATCGAGATTTTGATAACTATTTAGATAAAAAACAATAATAACAGTATCGATGTCAACTGCTTTAAAGAGAAAAACACATTTTCCCGTATGTTCAAAGATTGGGAAAATCAGGATCGGTCACTAAGGCTATTGATAGATTCCTTGCTGGCTGAGTACACGTGGTGCCATCTGTATGTAACTACATTCACAAAAAAAACTACAGGGGACAGAACATAAATCCGGGGCGGCTGGGTTAATTATTAGTGCTGGGTTAATTATTAGTACTTAGATACAGTAGAATATATGTACATAAGACAGACTCCGAGTCCGGCGGTCCTTAGTACTACATTTCCATTATTATCATTGAGTATTACTGAGTCTTTAAGAAATTATTCAGGCACACTATTTAGGTATACCATGTAATAGTATTCCCGTGTGAATATGTGATGCAGATATTCCTTTATCAGTTAACAACATACAATGCACGTTTAGAATTTAATGTTTCATAGAAAAAAAAAACACACACATCTCACCAAAGCCACAGACCACACACACAATACAATATACTCTCCACAAGAGTATTTCAACAGATTCCAGATCGACTTACGAGAGTGTTCTGCCGCCAGGAGAGGAGGGAGAGCCGGGCTGAGACGAGGAAGAAGGCCGGTCGTTGCTCCAGCTGTGAGGCGCGTGAGGCTTCGGATGCCACTGGTCGTCGGGGCGCGCGGTCGACGTTACTTATCTGCCTCGACGACGAGACCAGTTGTTTTGTTTTCATTCTATTTTGTTCTTCATTTTACCTTTTTATTGGTTTTCTTCTATTTGGTCTTACTTTTTTTCCTTTTCATTTTTTTTCATTTTACTTTTCTTTTTTATTGGTTTTCTTCTTCACTTTGGTCTTACTTTTTTCTTTTTATTGTTTCGTAATTTTCCTTATTTTAATTTTTTTATTCTTCTATTTGGTCTTATGGTTCTCCTTTTTATTTTTTCGTTATTTCCTTATCTATTCTTCTATTAGGTCTTATTATTTTTTTTTTTCATTTTTCCTCTTATCTCTCTTCTTCTTAGTATTGTTCTTCTTATTTCTTTCTTTTTCGTTTTCCTTATCTTTTCTTTTTTTCTCATTCTTCATCTTCTATTTGGTGTTTTTTTCTTCGTTTTCCCTTTTTTATCTTTCTTTTATCTTTATTCCAATTTTCATTTATTTATATATCATTTGCTTCTTTTTCATTAAAAAATCTTTCTCTCCTTTCTTTTATCTTTCTTCTCTTTCAATCCTTGTTATTCCCTTTTATATCTTCAGTTTCTTCCTTGCATGAGGTTCATTTGCGTTGCTCTGTGTAACGTGTGTGTGTGTGTGTGTGTGTGTGTGTGTGTGTGTGTGTGTGTGTGTGTGTGTGTGTGTGTGTGTGTGTGTGTGTGTGTGTGTGTGTGTGTGTGAGTTCTGTGTTTGGTTGTGTTCTATGTGTGTGTATACGTGTATGTGTGAGTACGTGTGTGTAAATTCGTGTGCGTATATGTGTGTTTAAGTGCCTTATGGTTACGGGAATATAGAAAAAGAAAAACAAATAACATTGCCAATTTTAGTACATTGTCAGTAAGGACAACAAGATGATAGTGATACTAATAAGGTAGCAGAAGGCATTGCAGTGACTAGAGGAAACAATTACTAAGAAATACCGATGCAAATATTAATGTATAAACACGCACTCACATGTACATGCTTATACGTATGTGTGTGTGTGTGCAGTGTATGTATATATATGCACATATGTATATGAATATATGCACATACGTAAACATATACGTATATCGACATATACATATTTGTAAACATACATACATGTATATATACGTATAAATATGTGTATATACATATATAGATAAACATATATGTATATAGATACAAATGTATCTATATACATTTAATATGTATACGTATACATGTGTATATACATACATATACACATAGATGTATATACATATGCATATATGTATATATATATACACATGTGTATATATACCTATATGTATATTTACATATACATATGTATATATACTTATGGGTGGGTGCTTCATGCTCAGGGTGATGTGAAGCGATGGTGTAGTAGCCTAGATAGTGTTAGGGAGCAGATATGCATAAGACTCCCCTGGCAGCTCATAGCCTCTCCATCATCAAGACTTCTGCAGTGCCTCCTCGTGGCCACCCATGGAAACTAGATACCTTGCGGTCCTAGGATGAACTGTGTCCTACTGCTCTTGGAGAGCAGGACGCCCTAAAGGTACGGAGTCATGGCCCACTGGCGTGTGGACACGCCCTGGCTTCGTACTAATTCCTGCCCCCGTGCCCCCTGGGTTTAATGGGCGACTGTGGGGAGGTACGCTTTGCCCATCTGCCTCCCTAAGAAAACCAAACTGGCAACAAACCATATAGGTGTTGGTGTTGTGGGGAGGGATATCCCTTCTACCCAGCAAGTAAAGCAGGCTGTGGGTCCCTGCGGGTTGGCGACCGCTGGGACTCAAGTAGGGAGCGGGAGTTACCCGTCGTCCCATCTGCGTCCCGGAGGCCGCCAACCTGGCGTGAGGCTTGCGTCCCGGAGGTCCGGGAACC